TATTTTTTGTCACACTTATATATCCTACTTTTTTCAATACAATAATATTATCAGCATTTTATTAATTAACTCATATTGTCAATTCGAGTAATGTTATTTAACATTACTGATATTAAAACACCAGTATAAATGGTACTAATATGATATTGAATGAGGGGCATAGTTAAAAAATAATGTTATCTAACATCAATTGTATTACAACACAAGTATAGATGACGTAATATGATAAGCTCAATGAAATGTGCAATTTAAGTGAGTCATTTCTCATTTATTACCATATTAGTGCCACCTAAATTGATATTTTAACACCAGTGATGTTAAATTGTATTACTCATAATTAAAATGAATCACTTAATTCTAGATTTATTTGACCATATCACTTAGCGTTACCTAAACTGAAATTGTAACACCAGTAGTATTAGATAACATTAGTTTTATCCCTTATGATGGTATTCGTTCAAAAATTATATTAGCCTGCTTTAAGATAATGAATAATTATTTAGTCTCGCTTTTGTATTTATTGTTTTGTATTTAAAAATGTGAAGAGCATATCTTTTTATGCCATTTTAAGTTTTAACAGAAGATGGGATATATCAACTAATGGAATGTCGATAATAGGAATGAAATGTAAAAATCAAATTGTAAGTATGAGAATAAGTAAAGATTGAGAATCCAATTAAAATCTGATGCTCTTATGAAAAATGGTTGTATCTATATAGCCACCCAAAAATTAAATAGTCGATTTTGTTGAAAAGGCGATCATAATCTTATTTTAATTATGACAAAAAGGAAAATAAAATGAATAGAATGTGTTGTGCTGTGTAATGATTTCCTACTTATTCTGTGGATTATTATTGCAATTTTGATTTTTAAAGGAGAAAAATGAAAAGAAAAAGAAAGACGCTGAGAAGGTGCTGGCTTTGAGGCTAATCTAGGGAGAAGAATTGGAGTGGGGCCCAAAACAACCAAGAGCAGGAAGAAATATAAGGAAATGATCAGTTGATTTGATCATGTTTTCATAGTGGCTTTTGACGGAAAAAAAAAAAAATCTAAAAGCTAAAAATGATTAAGTTAAATACAAAAATTCAAAAATACCCTCATCTTCAAACTAGTGTTTGAGTGGAGAGGAAAAAAGAAATTTAGAAAAAATTCACATAGTCTAACGGTCAAGATCCAGTCTAAGAAGTCATCCTCACAATCAACACAATGTCGACCACCACACAAACCGGCCATTATCTTCAACAATGCTAGATTTTTGGGATTATGAAATTGATCTTTTATTTACAACGTTTCAAAAATTTGTGAATTTATGATGCTTATAATGTTTATTTTTCATTATTTAGGTAGATTATTGAGCATACATACACAGGTGGTTTTTTTTTTTGGGCAATAAATGAGCTTGTTCTCATCGAAAATGGTGAAAATTAGAGGATTTGACCAAGACAATTTTAAAATACTGCCGAGAGCGGTGGTTGGGTAGGATGTAAGGATCAAACCATTAGGTAAAACTGGGGACAACTGTGGGTAAATCTAGGGAGGGACCCAAGGTTAAGGGGTATGGTGCAACTACGGGCAAGAAAGAGGGAGGGATTGGGGGATAGGTGGGGACAAGTTGAGTTGGAGCGGGGCATGCAAGGTGAGGTCAAGTAGGAGTGAATTTAGAAGATTAAAATGTGTTAAATTAAGCCCTTATTTGGAGCTGAATTTTTGAGCAAAAAAATGGATTTTTTGTTTTAACAGTTCACAGCTATCCGTTTTGACCACAACTCTCATACGTGGGTCCCAGCTTACCAAAAAGGGTCAAAAAATTGATTGTTTTCTGGATTAAAAAGCTAATTTAAACAAGAAAATACTCGTTTATAGAGTGAAGCTGATAAAATGGCTATTTTCTTTTATTTTAGGTTAGGATTGTTTGTTTAGATGTGAGAATAATATTGTTTGTTTATCAAGAGACATTAGGAAAAGTGATTGTGTGTTGCAATGTGTTTCATTTGAAGTTTAACATAATATAATTGGCTAGAACTCACTGAAATCACCTAGTTTGTACAAAATTCATCAAGCATCAAAGTATGGACCAAAGTGAATTACAGCTGAAATTATCCTCATCTCACAAATCTAAACCCTCACTTCACTTATTGCAAATCAATTGTGCACAAGAGTGCTACGAAAAACCTCAAACACAAAGCAAATCAGAGGTTTGAACTCTGCACAATATGAAGAAGAAGAAGAGAAAAAAACGAAGAATCTTCACGAAGAGGAGAACTCACAAAGAGAGAAACCTCATAAACACGCAACTAGAGAGGGATAAAAGGGTGTGGAGAGAGAACTAAATTTGAACAAAATAATGGATAAGGATAAAACTTGACGTTTAAATAACAAGTGTAGCATACCATTGATCCCTCATTTGATCTTACGGTTCAGAACAATCCTCCACAAGTAGAGTAGGCTATTAAGCGGCTAACTATTGGAGTTGCAATCTCGAAATAATGTTTTAGCTAGGATTTGGGTTAGTGGATTAGATTATGAGAAACTTATTTTATTGGGCCAATACTCTGAATTAAATTATCATTTGGACACGTAATTGTTTCAAGGTTCATTTGGCAACGCCGACCTCCAAACATTCATCTTGATACCAAATAAACTTTACAGAGAAAGTCTAAATGCTTAATACACCAAAGTTCCTTATCCTCCTCCTTTAGTATTGATACCTTAATTGTTCAACCTGATTAAAATATTATTAATCAAAACTCAATTTACTTGTAATAATGATCAAAAGACTTAAACAACTTCTAAATTTTACTAGGAATGGCACCTTAGTACCTATGTGTGGAAGATTATATTGAGATAGAACTTTCTCAAACTTCAGCGTGAAACACAATATTTCCTATAAAATGCATTCTAACATCAATAAATTTTGTACGTTTATGAATAACATGATTTGTAAATAAATGTGTAGCATTCTAACGTCAAAATACACAACAACATCATCATTCAAAAGAAATAGTTCTTTAAGCAGACATTTTTAATCGTAAAAGCTTCATTTATTCATTTAGTACCTTTAATTTCACACCTTCAATAGTAAACCTAAAATTAAACCAATTTTGCTTGTTCCTCTCAGGTATCTAGGTAACTATTTCAATGCCTCCAAATGACTTGGACTAGGATTTAACATAAATCTTCTAAAATATTAATACTGGCATCAAAATTTAGGTCAGACCTAGTACACACCACCATACAAGTAATTGAACCATTCACATCTGGATATGGAGTCTTACTCATATATTCAACTTATTCATCATTTGTAGATAGTTAATTTTTATATATAATAAAATAATTTATTAAAATCAATGTAACAAGCTTTCATTCATACATACCAAACTTTTTTAACACTTTCAACATATATGAAGTTTGATGCAAAAATAATAAAGAATTTGACATATCAACCTGCATTTTCCAAACATATGATCCTTTTTTCTTTTCCCAGGTCTTTCATAAATTCAGCATTTTAATTGCTCTCATTTAACAACTTTAACAAGAAGCGATCAGAAGCATATCATCATCATACAGTAACAAGAACACACATATATAATTAACATTATTATATTGATAATACAAACAATGATCCAAGTTATTTTCTTAATAATTAATATTTAAAATAAACTGATCAAATCTTTTATACTATCGATTAGGAGATTGTTTTAAGAAAAAACAAATAATCAAGTTTTTGTTTATCTCTAGTACCATGTGTTTGATTTCACCGTGCAAATTTTTTACAAAAATAAAAAAGTCAGTCTATGAAATTAACCCAATATATAAATCACAAGCAGAACTAACTTACGTTTAATTCATTTTTATACATTATTTATAACACTCAAATTATTTTTATCCATATATTTCAAGTGACTTATAAGTACAAATGTACATTTCACTTGTTCACTAGCCTTTTTTATTTATATAATTTATAATTTATAAAAACTTCATAGGCTACTATTTGGTAGGAATTAGATTTTAATTTAAGTTAAAGTTAAAAATTAATTTTATTTATATATTTCATAGGACTCACAATTTTTTGACCATATATTTCATCAACTTTATATTAAAATATGTTAAATTTAATTTTAATCGCCACCAAATAGTGACTAAATTTATTTTAAGACCATCTCCAATTTTGTACTAAAATTTGAGGTAAGTTTTACACCATTTTACATCAAACTAAAAATCATCTACAACCATTACACTAAAATTTACACCAAATGAACAGTATTTAATCATTTTTTCTCTTTTTTTATTCTCAATAATTTATTTATTTGATAATTTATTTATTTATTTATTTTATAAATATATAAATTACTAAATAAATAATTGCGTTAAATTAACGAAAATATTAAATTAATTAATAAATATAAAAATTATTTTTTACATTGTTAAATTTTTTTTATTACTATTATTAATCATAATAAGAATTATAACAATAAAAATTTATTGTATTAAAAATAAAAAACATAAATGATACAAATACCCTCTATCAATTAGCTTGGCAAATAAAAAAAATGGTAAATTTCACTTTGCACTATATTGAACCCAAAATGGCGCAAACTTTGGTATTACATTGAAATGATTTTGCACCAAAATTTGATGTATTTTGGTGGATCCGTTGGAGATGTACTAAATAGCCTTGATTTGAGTGGCCAAGAAAGCTTTGGTCTCACCAAAATTGTACAAATTTTGGTTGGTGTCACATTGATAAAATAAATGTTACAACTACGTATTTTTAATTTTTTTTTTTTAGGAAATACGGTTATCCCATTGGAATTGACTGTTATCAAAAATAATTTTTGTCAACGACAAATCACAGAGAGAGGACTCTATTTATAAAATTTGGTAAACAAATTTGTACTTACAAAATAATTCTTAAAGAGATTCTGCACCAAAATTTGATACATCCATTGATGATGTCCTAAATAGGCTTAGATTTGAGTGGCCAAGAAAGCTTTGTACACGTGTCACTCTACCTACCACTAACCGCTAATATCTCCTCACTTTGCCTCACACAACGGCTCCAAGCCATTGAAACCCCACTCCTGAATTCCCTTGTTACCGTCGCGCTGCCTCCATCTTCACCCGTCCCTCTGGGACAGAATAGTGATTCCATGGCCTTTCTCCCTCGATAGAATTCGGATAATTGCATAAAATATTGTGAGAATTTTTCAAAAAAATAAAAAATGCATTGTTTGAATCTGAAGGTAGTTACTGATTTCAACGCGCGGTCATGGCCGAGTCGACTCGTCGTGGACTCGTATGCCGCAGGCACCAGAGGGCAAATGTTGAATTGTAACAGTAATTATAAACATCAGAATGTTAGGTTAGTCAAGATTGTTGCTTGTAGTACGTCGGAGGATCCGAATCCTATTTCGGGTTCCTGTCAGGGTCAGAATTCGGTTCTTTCTCGGACCCAAACCTATGCTTTGTTGAAGCAGCAATTGGAAGTCGCTGCAAAATCAGAGGTTGGCATATATTTATATTCTGTGCAATTACCAAGCGTAATTAGCTCTGGATGAAACAATGTACAACTGTTAAAAGCGTGCAGTTTAAAATACTACAGCATTTTTACCGTTCTGTGTGTAAAAACCTGCCATTTCGTATTTAATTTTAGTTATCTTTTCTGGTTATGGATGAAAACTATTTCGATTTTACTAACAATTGATTTGTCTACAAGATGTTGGTATTTAAAAATATTACGGTTGCTTGATTGAGCACACCAATTTGGGAATCCAAATGCTCTAGTTTGAGCTTTAAACAGACCTAATTGTTTATTTCAGCATAATGGCTCCGAAACCATATAAGAGGAGTAGCTAAAATCGTTATATGTTGATTTTTATTTTTTAGGGTTGACCCCTTAACAGCAAGCAAAGCAACGCAACGCAAAATTTGCTTCTTTTTTTTTTTTTTTTTCACGCCCGCATGTTTCCTATTATAATTGAAGATGTTGTTGAAGTAGTGTAAATCATTGTTTAGTTGCTATATTTATTTTAACTTTAATTCTAATGTTAATTATAGTTTCGGAAGCACTTGTATTAACTTTGAATTGGATAATAATCTACTACTAAGTTTAAGTTATGCATGGTGATTTTCACAGGAAATTTCATTTCTACTTTGATGGTTTTATGCTGTGATTTGACTTATTTCCTTTTCTGATAAACTATGTTAGGATTATAAAGAAGCTGCCAGACTTCGTGATTCTTTGAAAATTTTCGAGGAAGAAGAGCCAGTTTTGCGTCTTAAGAGGTCGTTGAAAGAGGCCATTACAGAGGAGAAGTTTGAAGTAAGCCTTTCCCATTATGTAATTATTCTTTTTCTGCACATATCACTTTGAAAGTTAAGAGAAAGTTGTTCAATTGCATATGCTTTTCTGGGTGCAAACACTACTTAAATCAAATATAGAGGATGATTCATTAAGAAAGTGGGTGATTTTGAGTTTGATCCTCCATTGTCGTTATTGTATACTGGAGGATAAAAAATTAACATGCGAGGGGAGAGAGTGATTTGCAATTCAAATTTACTTCATATCATTCAGATTTCAGTTCGAGTGGCGAGAAAAGGTGTTTCTAAATGTGTGTTGAGTGCTATTTAATTCTTGCTTTTCTTTTCCATTGTATTGTAGGCCATTAAGTGTTACTTCTCTTTCCTTTAAGTTGACAAAAGATTTTCTTTATTCAGTGTAAGCATGTTAAATTGAGTACCGTACCCGTATAGACAATTGGTCTACTTAATGTTTGAAGTGTCTTATTTCAATTGTTGACTTGGCTTAAAATCTTTTGGAAGCTACAGTATTAATGATTTTCAACTAATAAAATATTGGCATTGCAATGACAATTTAAAAGAAGCGTATGATGGTAGTGCCAAATGTCTTGATAGCATAGTGATTTTGCATACATCTATATATGAAATTGTGTGAACCTCAAATTTATGGGGAATAAGATTTGCTTTGTTGTTAAAATGAAATTGGATTTTCTGGCTATATATTGATCATGAAATTTATGATAGAATTTTTCAAATGGAGTTTTTTTTGCATTACCGAACTCTGTTTATTGGTGTCTTTTCTTATCTATGTATGTACCCCCAGGATGCAGCTAGGTACCGTGATGAGCTGAAGGAAATTGCTCCACACTCTCTCTTGAAGTGCTCTAGTGATGCAACCACTTTGGTATTACACATATCAGATATCGAATTGATTTGAGCTTTTTGTAACCTAAACACAGTTCTAGTGATGCAACCACTTTGGTATGACGCACATCAGATATTGAATTGATTTGAGCATTTTGTAAACTAAACTGGAGCAATTTCCAATTGGCCTGGTGCTATCATGTCTTTTTATGAGTCCAACAACTAATAAGCTGGAATATTGGGTTACTTCCAAGCTAGTCTGTAAACCTTTTTTGGACAATCAATTATATGACCAGATATGCACACTGCATGTACACTCATGACTCATGGAGCATGAAATTCACAAAACCCCAATTACTTTCCTTATTTTTTTAAACCATAGACTTATACTTATTGTTGGCTAGTCTTTAGAAGATTCAACTTTTAGATGGTTCCTTGAACCTAATCTGTCTTTTTTCTAACTCCATGTGTGATATGATATATTCTGCTGCATTTGCATCTATTATTTTTATTTTATTTTATTTCTGTGATTGTTGCACTTTTAGATTAACTAGCTGAGTTGATAGCATAAATTGCAACTTGATGTTATTAGATTTGAATTTTATCCCTTGCATAGCTTCATGTCAACTTGCATCAAACCCTCTTAAGATTCTAGTTATTAAAAAATTATCTAATTCATGGAAAGAGAGTCAGATGATTCTGGTTGTCAAGTAGTGGATCCGTCCGATTGCTGACACTGGATCACAAGGTCTAGTGTTAGAAGCTTAGTTTAACAAGCGGACTTGTTAAATCAGAAACTTGGTTCCTTACTAATTGAACTTCTGTTCAGCAGAAACAGAAAATCCCCAGGAAAAAAAACTAGGGATAGGCAGAATTCACCTTTATCTCTACCATTCCCACTTTTTATGCTGCAAATAATGCATTTGATTATGGAACTCCTAATCGGACTGGAAATTATCCTTTATTTGAAAGATTAAGTCTGGGAATGGACAAGTTACTGTATTTCTTGGAAACTGGGTTAATCCTAGTATCTATTATATCACCCAAGTTATTCACTCACTGAACAGATATGATCCCAGCTGCCCTTTGCAAGAATTTGGCCCATCCTGATCTCGACAGTAACCTTCTCTCTGGACATTTTTGATTTTGGACTGGGAGTCTGCCGGTGAGCATAAGCTCTCCTCCAAATTCAGGAAATTTGAAACACTGGATCGGGTCTTGTTGGTTGTTTAGACCCAAACGTCCATGCTCGACTTTTCTTATGCTTCATTGGGCGTTGGGGGGGGGGGAACCTTTATGACAAAAAATTTAAAGAAAGGCCTTCTTTCATTTTAACCCTTAAACAAGGGCCTTTTAATGGGGGGAGGCAACAAGTAGTTAAAGCATTGATGACTCCTTGTATATCTGGATCAGTTTTTGACTATTCCTTCTTCTTCAGGGCGTTAGGGTTCAGGTTAGGAGTGTTTACATAGAAAGCCGAAGTCAGCCTTCGAAGGGTCTTTACTTTTTTGCATATAGAATCAGGATCACCAACAATTCAGATCGCCCAGTACAACTTTTGAGAAGGCACTGGATCATCACTGATGCCAATGGGAAAACCGAGAACGTCTGGTAAGTTGTCAGTTCTGCCATTCTTGTGCAAAGAGGAAGAGCTGCAATATTGTCTTGATCTTTTATCTCATTACAATCATTTAGGGGATTACTAATCATTTTTGCTTTTAAAAAATCTACCTACTTTGTAAGCAGGGGAATTGGAGTTATTGGTGAACAACCAGTTATACTTCCCAACACCGGGTTTGAATATTCATCAGCTTGCCCATTGAGCACACCTAGTGGCAGAATGGTGAGAACGGTGAACTATTTTTGATGTACATTTAACATCATTCCCACCATGAAAACCCGGTTGCTTAGTTTAAGCATAATTTGATCTAGTGCCATACTAGATGACATTGACATTGAATATCTATAGTTGAACCAGTTACATGCAGAAATTAACATGCGATTTTGAACCCTTCTCTCCCCTTGTATCAAAAAATCCTACTAACATGGACCCCTACAAGCATTATTCAAATATAAAGATAGATCTACAAAATAAATTATGCTGGTCATAAATGTAATTCTTTGCTGACTGGCCATGTTTGAGCTTCCTTAATTCTCGTTTTGGTGGAGAAACCTTGTTTTTTCTGTGCATATATAAGTAATAGAAACATAATTGTTACTGCTATACATAGATTTCATTTTTCGTTGTTTTTATCATCTTACAGGAGGGTGACTTTGAGATGAAGCATATTGATAAAGTAGGCTCTCGGACATTCAACGTGGCCATTGCCCCCTTTTCTCTCTCTACATTCGGAGATGGTACTGATGCTTTTTGAAGAGTACTGTGGATACGCAAAATGGAGATGGATTGTCTCACGCGTACTGTTTGTTATATCAGATTGTAACATCATAGCAATAGTGCAGTTCTTGAGACATGTCAAAACCTGTATATGTTACCATAAGAAGTGTAAGATATTTAATCATCCCCAGTAAGGATTGTATGCTAGAGACTGATAAATACACGTCAAAACAGAATTTTGTCTGGTTTGTATTATGAAGTTATAAATGGAACGAACTGTATAGTATGTATGTATTGAAACTGCAATGTTGATTGGAAATTGATTGCTTTATTCTTGCTGCATTATCTCTTTATTAACTTCCCTCAGATAAAAAAGTAAACAAGTAAAGAAAGGAGGATAGTACGTTAAAGTGTCTTTTGTTCTTGCAAATGGTTTTTAGATTAGAAATACATGTTGGCATTTCTTTTCAATCTCTTTAATTCAGCATAACCATCTGGTGTGAAAAGGTTTATGCCCCATAAATCCTGCAATTCTTAAGGTACTTTTCATAATGAAATACGTATTAGCAATTAGTTTTGCTTGTGGCATTAACAGACGGAGCTCAGTACTTGTTTCTCTCTGTGTCTTGAATTTTCAGGAGCAAAGTTTGATTCTGGCTGAGTTATGAAGTCACTTCTGTCAGCAATTGGTATGCCCTCTGGCCTGTACTTCGTATGTTTATATGGTAGTGTTCTTGTTTATGTGTATACCTCTCTCTGCATCTCAACGGTGTTTATGCTTCTTTTGTACCCAATCTTGGCATGTTTTTATCCACAAATTAACTGCTATATTGATTAAAATTTGTATAAGTTGGTTGAAGGTTCTGATTGAATCGTTTGAGTTTTTATTCTTTTCTTTTTTTTATTGAATTTGCATAGCATAAGATAGTCGTAAGTCAGTTGTTCGTTTATGGCGAATCCCATGTTCCAAATTTATTATTACACAAACATATGCATTTGTCCGTAATGTAATTTCTTTAGGCCTAACAGTGTTCGTTTTTATAGAATGTGACTTTATAGGACTTCAATAGAAATTTAACATTACAGTAGCATTTCTTTTTGTTGTTTTGTGTTTTAGAATATTTTTTCTTTTCCTTTAGGTTAGGCTTGTGATTGGGACATTGTTGTCTACATTAAACTTATTTTTTGCCAAGATTGAAGGCTGTTAGTCCATATTCCACCACAGATGATCTTTATGCACCATTCTGGTAGTTATATTTATTAACATAACAAACAGAGCTCAGTACTTGATTCTCTCTGTGTCTTGAATTTTCGGGAGCAAAGTTTGATTCTGGCTGAGTTATGAAGTCACTTCTGTCGGCAATTTGTATGCCCTCTGGCCTGTACAAACATATGGTTGTGTTCTTGTTTATGTGTATACGTCTATTTGCATCTCGACAGTGTTTATGCATCTTTCGTACCGAATCTTGGCATGTTTTTATCCACAAATTAACTGCTATATTAATTACAATTTGTATAAGTTGGTTGAAGGTTCTGATTGAATCGTTGCATTATTTTATTTTATTTTTAATTGAATTTGCATAGCATAAGATAGTCGGAAGTCAATTATTCGTTTATGGCGAATCCCATGTTCCGAATTTGTTATTACGCAAACATATGCATTTGTCTGTAATGTAATTTCTTTAGGCCTAACAGTGTTTGTGTTTATAGAATGTTAAGACTTTATAGGACTTCATTAGAAATATCACAATACAATAGCGTTTCTTTTTGTTGTTTTGTGATTTAGAATATTGCTCTTTTCCTTTAGGTTAGGCTTGTGATTGGGACTTTGTCGTCTACATTAACTTATTTTTTGGCCAAGATTGAAGGCTGTTAGTACATATTCCACCCCAGATGATCTTTAGACTTTATGCATCCTACTAGTTATATTTCTCGTATTTATTAACATAATGGAGTGAACAGAATTCATGTGGTCGATTCCACATTTAGAGCATGTTTGGTAAAGCTTAAAATTCAATTAAAATCAATTTATTGACCGTCATTTCATTATTTTATCCGTTATTTTTGAATTCTTCTCTCGCAGGTAGGATCCATTTTATCTCTAATAGTCAAAAAATCAATTAACAAAATCTCTACCAAACAAGCACTTAAAAAGCACGGCTTATTATGGTATATTATGATGGAAGGGCATCTAAGTTCAGTCACAAATCAAATCCGAACAAAACATGATATAGCTCATTGTTATTATTGTAATTAGGTAGACACACACGACAATTTCTTACAGGATGTTGGCACTCCCGTGATGAATATGATTCATTTCTCTCTCTCTCTCTCTCTCTGTATTTTTCCCTTCAAATTGACTAAAGACTTTGCCAGTAAATTTCTTAACTCCGCTCATACAAATACATTGCACAGTTGCTCAAGTCTAGCTCAAGTCGCAAGAGCAGAATTTTACCAGTAAAATGATCTGGGTTCGGGCATTTTTTTTGGGGGAGTGGTACCCTTTGATTTCCTTTGAAAAATAAAGAAAAAGAAAATCCTCACAAGGGTTTGATTTGACTGACGTGATTGATTTCTATTTATTTCAAAATATTTTTTTTTCTTCCTTTCAATCACATATTTTTAATAAAATAATATTATACGCAAATTTAAAACTTTTTTTATTTTTTAATTACATATTTTTCATTTAAATACTATTTAAAAATATATTATTTTCAGAAAATGAGGTTCAAACATGCTCTAAATAAATATTCTAAATGTGGGAACTGTCAAGGTTGTAGGCTTGTAGGTCTTTTGTCAACTTATTCAAGTTTGCATACAAATGCAGATACTAAAAACTCATAGTTTCAACTCCTTGTAGGTACAGTGTACATGCAACTTTTGTTCTCTATTCTGTTGGGGTACATCTTTCGAATTTACCCCCCACACAAAACTATAGGGGTGGGACGGTGGGAGCCCTCAAAATTGGAGTTCGACCTTTTGAAAACTCATAGTTTCTCTTTATTCAAATCAATAACTAGGAAAAGTAGATACTCTAGCTTGAGAAGCTTTTCATTTAGTAGGTTTGTAAAATTTGTTTGGATAAGCGTACGTATTTTTGTTGTGGTTCATGTGGATTAGGGATGACAATGTAATGAGTCCAAGGCAATCCTTCCCATCTCTTATTTCATGAAGATTTTCGGAGTTGGTCCGCCATGTTGGGATGATGCAGGTAGGGGGGTAGAACTTCCTAGCAAATGGATGTTAATGCGAACAAGGAATTTGTTGCGTATAACTAATCACGCGTAAGCCTTTGCTTTGGGGTCACGCATTGACAAATGTTGGACTTCTTCACCCTTTTTGTGTGAGAATTACTCACGCTTTTATACCATTGCACAAATGACAACATACAAATAAAATGGAATGGCTTCTTCCTAAAGTTATTTATTACATGACAATGAAATTTATTGTGGGGTCACCCAACTCGTGATATGGTTTCATCTGGGGTGATTAGATTTTGTTATGTTGTAATAGGATCATTGAATTTATAATTTTGTTTCAATTAAGTCATTCGGTCTCGTTAAAGGATAAGGATGGGGCTAGGCAAGTGGGGTTTGAAGCAATCCCATTCTTGCCCAATTTTTCGATGGGTCATGTGAGGTTAAGATATTTTGTCATCCCGAAGTCTTAAAAGGAAAAACGACATGACGACTAAGGAACATGCTTAATGTTTTAGCCCTAACCCCAGAATGGATTGAAAATCCATTTATTACGTAAACGCTTTTCCGAAGGGGCAATAAAAAAAAAAAAAAGGATTGTGTGTGTGAGGGTGGGAGTGGGGGACGGGATTGGAGTTCTCGAATTGAACACAATTTTTGTGGGGGAAGACCAAGAAGGTCTTTCTTTTGGTGGGCCCACAATAGTCAAGGTCTGGGTCTCAACACTGGGTCCCATTTTAAAGTCTGGCAGGACAATCTTTGCTTAATCATCGAACAATTCATAACATGCCATTTTCCCACAAAATGTCGGTCCAAATTTTGCTCTGTGGGCCACTGGATGCGTGGTCCACTGTCCTGTCTCTTGTAACGCAAGTATTCCATCAACATTCCAAGCAATTACTTATTTATTTATTTTTTCTTTCGTCTTTTAGTTAGGCCAATCAATAACTTGTTGGTTAAGCTTGAAATATTAAAAAGAGCTCTTAGGTGCAAATTTTGTAAATTGTTTTTTATTACACGAAAAAGGAAATATTAGGAAAAAAATATATTTGAAATTCTGAGTTCAAAATTCATCTGGTTAAATATATTAAGACCTATCTTGTTTCTATGTCGAACAACTCAAAAAGTTTTAAAATAAATTCTGACTTTTAAAACTTGTGTTCTACTAGTTAAAATTAACTAAAGTCGTGAAATAACAGAAGGGGGAGAAAAAATGGCTCGGACCACCACTAAATATGACTCCAACTTCAGTATGTGGCGTCTGAAGTTTTGAGAATAATTTTCATTAATTTCACATGTTTAGATTTCACTTTCGATCGGTGAAAATTAACTAACTATGCGAAAAGGCGATACTATACAAAAGGGTGAGAATCAATGACTCGGACCACCACTAAAATTGGCTCCAACTCCAATCTATGGTGTATCATGCATGAGTTTACATCCATCTCATTTCCTTTTTACATCTCCTTTATTTCTTTATTGGGAGCCGATGACAACATATAATAATTTATTTATTCAAAGTAAGAATAAAAACTCCAATACCCAACACAAAATCCATTTATAAAAATATTAATGGACCCCACACAACCCCCCACCCCCTTCCCCTCCTATTAAATATCAAAAACTAGAAAAGACTCTAAACACAAGGCTGTCTCTGCACAATAAAAGGTGACAAATCCTACAATTTTTGCATTGTTTTTGGGAATTTTCATGTTTTGCATGGGAATAATAGCTCTTACTTACAAGATCTTAATCTTATTAGGATAATATATAAAAAGTGTTAGCTTATGCTCAAAGCACACCATCTCTTTTCATCCTCTCTATATCTATTATATTTATACATCTTGAGCGTAGGGACATGGCTCGATCGCTCCAACAAGATTTTGTAATTTTTGATAAATTTATGCATAATTTTTTATTTTTTAAAAATATATCTTTTACTTTTAGCATTTTTAAATCCTAGCTGTCATTGACTGTATATATATATATCTATCTTTCTCTCTCTGCTTTTTATTTTAGTTTTTAACTGCAAAGCAATGAAGCAAAGAATCTCTTCTTATACACCGCCACATTGTGTTGCTTTCCTTTGTAAGTATTCTCACTTTCCTTTGCTTACAATTCAAAACCATAAGTTCTTCTTTTGCCATCTTTCAGTTAAATATTTTATTTCAAAATTCGAATTATACCCTGAAAGTTTGGAATCTCTGATTACTTTCAGACGATAATTCAATACAAGTTTTGTTTGAACATCTTCTTTCTCTCTTCTTGCTTTGAGTTTAATCCTAAATATTGTTATAAACCTCTGATTCTGGTTATCGGAATTGATGTTCGACCAAAAAATCGAAATGGTCCCTTCATAACCAGTAGTGCATAATATCAAATAAATCATTTTTATCTTGAAGTACATGTTAATGTAGTCTTGTTTAGGACCAAATACTTGCTTCAAAATTGAACAAATTTTTGGATCAGAGCAGAATCTTCAGACGCAGCAGGATTTGATTTTCCGTTGTTATTTGTGCTCAATTCATTTCGAATTCAATTCAATTCTTTTATATCTTGTCGAGTTTTCCTCCTTCAGATTCGTTGTTTCTTCCGAAGTTTTTGCCTGGACTCGAATTTTGCAATTGGAGGATTCTTTTATTACTGCTGAGATTAGACAGAGTTGGAGAAAAAAGATAAACATCATGAGTTTCTTAACATTTATAACAGGTTCTCCGAAAAATTCTTGGCAACCGGCTATGACTATCGATACTACAACAGCCTCTTACTGGCTTAACTGGCGGGTTTTGCTCTGTTCCATGTGGATTCTAATGTCGATGGTATTTGCATCAATTCTTATCTCTAAATACGAAGGTCCACGCAATGTTAAAGGAGGAAAAACTGAAAACGAACAAGACTCGGCTGGAGTCTTGTATGAAGATGAAGTCTGGAAGCCGTGTCTTCGAAGTATACATCCTGTGTGGCTACTTGCATTTCGAGTCGTTGCTTTCACCGTGCTTCTGTTAATGCTAATCCTAAATGTTGCCGTTGATGGAGGAGAGATTTTTTACTTCTATACTCAGTAAGTAGTACCATTTCTTAAACCATTTGACACACAGACCTTGCTATATGTACATTAATGCTTACATAAAAGATCACATAATGTCACATTGCACTCTACCATTTGACATTTTAAAATACTGTCAATTTTTTATCCAATCGTGTCCCTCCACATCATTTTTATGAACAAGTAGCAAAATTCTTGACACAATAAAGTGCACTTAGATTATGTTCTTCGCATAGGATTCAGATCGAATGACTCTATATCCATTATGTATTTTTGAAGCTATAATTGCTTATCTCCTTGTTCGACTTCTTGTATTGGATGCTCAACAGGTGGACTTTTACATTGATTACCATTTATTTCGGGGTAAGAAATCGTCCTCATTTCATTTGTGAATAAACACATACCATGTCTTCTTTTTCTTATGGCATTTTAATCTGTTGTAGCTTGGATCCTTACTGTCCATAAACGGATGTTACCGGCATCATAAATTTGGTGGCGATAAATTTGATGACAAGCATTTTGACGCCGAGCAGGGCTCTCGATACTCTGCAAGTGCACGTAATTCTAATGCATCGTGTGCTACAAAAGGCATGGACCTCAATCAAGAACATCCTGTTCGCCGAATTGCTGGCTTCTGGGGTTATGTCTTCCAAATCATTTTCCAGGTAAATCCCCGTAAATAATTTCTGTTATAAAGACGGCTGCATTCATATTCAGAAGAATTTTTTTACATTTTTACCCACCTTTTCGTTGATAGATGAATGCTGGAGCTGTGATACTGACAGACACAGTATTTTGGTTCATACTCGTACCGTTTCTTACCATTAAGGATTACAATTTGAATTTTGTAAGTACTGTCAAACATTTGTTTCTTTACAAAATTTAACAACTCGGGTTTCTAATTACAAATTCCTTTTATTTTTCTGTGTCTGAACGATATGTATTAATAATCTTGCAGTTGATTATAAACATGCACTCGATCAATGCCATTTTTCTGATTGGTGACACTGCATTGAACTGCTTGGTAAGCCCACATTGCCAATTAATTTCTACCACAATTCATATTTTCAGCTTCTCATTATGAATCTCTCTCTTGTTGTGACCATTATTCAGCGATTTCCTTGGTTTCGTATTGGGTACTTTTTTCTCTGGACGGCTGTTTATGTCGTTGTACAATGGGTCGTCCATGCTTGCATCGCGCTTTGGTAAATCATCTTCTTCCAATCCTTTATGTTAACTAATAAAAATGTATGTGCTTCCTTTGTAACAGAGAATTTTTTGAAACAGGTGGGCTTATCCATTTCTTGATTTGTCGTCGCCATTTTCTCCATTATGGTACGTAGTTTTCGATTTCTATCAGATTTAAAAATACATTTTATATTCGATTTGGTTTGCTGTCAAATTTCAATCTATTCGACTTCCTTTACAGGTATTCAACCGTCGCTCTGATGCACATACCATGCTATGGCATATTCGTGCTGATAATGAAGATGAAACGCTATTTGCTGTCAAAATGGTTTCCTCAGTCTTATCGAAGTATGCAGTAATGCAATTTGAGGACCGGTTTTCTTTATTCGACCGATACACCTATCGTATAGAAGAACGAGGAAAGATTTGTGTTTGTGGCTAGCAATATAGGATATGACTTTCTTTTGTAAATTTTCATAAGAAATATAAACAATAAATTGCATTTTGAGGGATATATAGCTGATAAGAGAATGTAATACGATCATTAGTTGAGTCCACCCTTGTAACTTAATAGATCTGGATGAAATAGACAGCGAATTTAGTTTTTAGCCCTTCTTATCCTTTTTCTTCTTTCTGTTTATGTCCCTCTTTTACATATTTTCTCCAAAATGGTCCTCAATGCTCTCTGATTTTAATTTTCTTTTCATTCATTATTGGATAATTTATATTGTTTCTTATCTCCCGGCTTCAATTAAATGCATCAAATACTTTTTGGTTGCGTTTAGAGCATCGGATTAGACAGTAATTTGATGTAAAGTTAGAATAGATAATAACATGTGAATTGTATTATGGTGGATTAAGTTGGATAAATATTTTCTAACAATGTTATTTGCACTATCGATCATATAAAATGAATCCGAAGGGTGGAGATAGGTTTAAGTTGGATAAGAAAATAAAAAATCTAAGAATACTATCTACCTTAATCCGTCGTAAAATCATCTACCATGGCTTTATATTTTAATTTTAAACTAAATTCTTCTAATTTGGTGGGTCAATTGCAACCTTTTAAGAGCATATTTGTACGTAGTATACTGAATATTGAATTATGGTGAACGTTACAATAATGTAACGATCTAGCTTTCTGTCAAGTCTTCCAAGATTCGAGCCCAATATCTCTTAGTTATGAAAGATTTAAATTGAATTCTGGTACTAATCAATTTTAAACAAATGAAAGAAAAGGGAATACATGTTGAGAAAAAGTATTCATTTTAAAGTAAAGCATACGTACGCATCATATGCATGTAGTTCGTTTACTGAGTTTGAGCTCATTCCATGTTATTCCTCCATCGCATTTATAATTTTAAGAGAAAATAAAATTATAATAGTTCTAAATAGCAAGATAAGTTCATTCATTTCGTATGTGATTATGATGGAGATGTCTTTAATTGTGTTAATGGGTAAGTAGACAAGGCAATTGATTTTTCAAATTTTGGCATGCTATAGCCAATGAGTTTTTTTCTTAAAATAAACTTAAATTATTTTAATTTGGATCCCTCTACTCGTTCTCACCAAGATCTAACGCTTGGACAATATTTCTATAACAATAGGAACCCCTACAATAATAATAGAACCCATTATTAGCTCAATATTTTCCAAGAAAATCTGAGACGCATACACAAATGGAGGCACATTTAATGTATTCTCACCCTTAGAAGTTGTAATGAACTTGATTTATATGTAAAGAGGTTCTTAGATTGTGATAAATAGAAAACAACTGATAAAGATAGATATAGAGTCTGTTTGGGAGTGATTTTGAGAATTGATTTTTTGACCTTTAGGAGAAAAGTGAGATTCACCTGTGAGAGAAGAAGTCAAATATGATGACTGGAATAGTGAAATAACAATCAAAAAATCAAATTTTTGGGCCAAAAAATCACTCCCAAACAGGCTGATATATGACTCTGATGAGATGTGATTTTGAGGTATTATTTAGAGATTGACTGTCTTAAAAGAAGTGGCATTCAAACCCCCGAATGTAGCCAATGTTTTTGGCTTTGTGGGAATAAACTCTAAGCCTTTTATTCCTACAATTATAGTCTTGAAGAGTTGACAATTGTTGAATAAGGTTTGTTTGGCTTAATTGACTTGATAATGAAGGCATTACTTAGAAGTAGAGGTACTGAAGATTGGTCCCTCCATTGAATGAGTTTCAATGTTTCAAGAATATCATGATTTATTTCTAGATGATATTCATTTTTTATGCCTGAAAATGTCATCGATTTAGTTCTTGATAAGTCCCTTGTCGCATTTAAATGTAATGAATGCATTTTACTACTCCGTGTCACATGACAACACAATTTATAGAGTTAAATTAGTTCTTGTAAAGGTATTCAACATTCCAATACTTCTTCCTTTGCACATGGTATGAATATATGTGAAATACATTAAATTAGCTAGGTACTTTGCTCACGACGTGCTTAGTACTTTAGATGGAGAAGAGAAAAAGCTTTTACATGCTTAGGTGGTGGAGAACGAATGATAGTCAATATCCAATTGTTTCCATTACAACACATGATCTACTAACACATTCGATATCCCTCCCAATCTATTTTTATTTTTTAGTGCAAGTGGCAAGGTTTTGTCTCACTATAGATCAAGATTTAAAGAAGTCAGACTAGAGAGTTTAATGTATTTAAAAGATTAAGAAGACATAAAACTCTTAATCGAAGATAGGATGGACAAACTCTTAAATAAATCTCACTTCACTAGTTCACTTATCCCCACCCCCCACCCCCCAAAAAAAAGAAAAGAAAATCACTTATTTGGGTTATTTCGGTCCAATTCTAATTTACATTATTATTCTACCTCTTTCTTCCATCATATTCTTTCAATTGTGAGTTCAATAATGTAGGTGCCGGGCTTATTTGTGAGCGGTAAAGATGGTTGTTTATGAGTGCATTTTAAATCACAAATTTATGAAATGGAAATGTAGTACAAAACCATAAAACCAGATAAGAAAATTAAAATAAGAAGGAGTAGAAAACGAAGATTAAATCCGAGGCAAGTGTATTCACTCTCTCCTTAAGACAATATTGCCCCGCTACGGTGCTCACGGTTGGCGGCAATTGTCTCCCAAGATACAACGGATTCGATTTGTGGTAGTAGCACTTCAAACTACAAATCCGGCGAACTTTCGACGAAGTTTCCCCTCTACAAGGAATATAATATATGAAAAGAGATGAAGAAGAAGAGAATTGCAATTTTGAGAAGAATGAATGCTCAATATGCAAATGGTGTACTCTCAAAGTCATCCAAGGGGTCCTTTATATAGAGAATGGAGTGGTGTGATGAAAGGATTTGAGCCAAACCATGCAACCTTCCAAACAGGTGCCACTATTTCAAAACCACAATTTCTCATTCATTTTTGAATTGATTTATTAATAAACACCATTTCCAACAAATAATTCTACCTTTATACCTTGAACAAATTGAGTGCATTCATAGCCTCTAGAAGAATTATAAAACTGTTTTTTATCACTTATTTGAATTCTCTTTTCATTCTCTTTCAATGTCATGGCTTGCATAATAGTATTGAAGAAAATAATTTCGACAGAGGGGAAAGTGATAGAGAACAATTTCACAGTCTTTTGGGAGAAAATTAATACAATCAAATTGTTCAAGTCAATAATTAAACTAGAAAGTTCGATCTGTATATGAAATATAGAGGTAAGACTGGTTAAAAAATGCCATCCATGTGGCTCTTCGAATTTTGTGTAATATATTCCATACATTGCATATTTAAAGAACTGAGAATATACATAGTTTCTGTTAAAACTTGGAGTCCATCTTAATAATGTCAACTTTGTTAAGAGGAGTAGTCCAAGATTCTTCTAAATTGGTCAATATTTTGGTATTTAATCGATGTGTGATTTTTATTTCCTAACATTCCCTCGCAAGATAGTGGCTCGTCTGAGCAGACCAATCTTGAAATTCGCGTGTTCATTTTTAGAGTCTTAATGGATCGAATTGCTTATTGGAACTTAATGGGCTCTGATACCATGTGAAGATTTGATATCCATCTTAATAAAATCAACCTTATTAAGAGGAGTAATCCAAAATCTTTTTAAGTTGGTCAATATTTTGGAATTTAATCAATGTCAGATTTTTATCCTTTAACAGCTCCTTATCCAATATAAGCGAATAGGTTAGTAATTAAAATTTTTTCAAGGTCTGACTTCATAATATGTAAGTTTTGTTTACATAAATTTTCTTTAATTTTATGATTTTTTAGGAAAAACTATACATGTAGTATCTTCTTTGTGTAAATTTTATCTTTGCTTAGTTAGAATTAATTTTTCTTACGTTGTGCCTCTTTAGTTACTTTTTCTTTTATGTACTTATAATTTTTGCCCCTTGTGTCCTACTCTTTTCTCAATTGCCTCCTTTCCTTTTGTGACTTGGAAGTCCTATGTATCAATGGCAAGCTTCTCAAGCATAATAATTGTTTTGAACACGTGGAAAATAAACTCAATTTCGCTTTGTAGTTTTCCAACTTGTAAAAAAAATTATAATTCATGTATTCAAATGTAGAATTGGATACCATCACTCTTTTATCTAAAGCAAATATTCAATGTGTGTTTTAGATGGTTTGAATATTTATATTTAAATAAAATGGGACATAATTAAATGTCAACGTAACAAGTAGTAAAAGTCGTGAAATAGAGTAGAATTATTATAAGTGTGAGCATTAACCTGAAAAAAGTGAACCTTAAATATGATCGAATCATTAGTATAAAAATAAAAATTCCTCTTTATCAAAAAATATGAAGTATAAATTATAAATGGACTCTAATTGAATCGACTTTCATGTGAAGAATCCAATTTCGAGTTTCTATTTAGAAGTCTTCACTTTTGATTTTTATATAAATCTGATTTTTAATTTCATATATTTTCTTGGTTTTATAACGAACCATTAGGTTCAATCTGATCCTTGAAACACTGACTATAAAAGAGGCAAATACCCTTTTTCTTTTTTCCTTTTTTTCTATTTTTATTTTATTTTATTTGAACTTACGGCATTTTATACAATTGTTTCATATGATTATAATTGAGATATAAGATGAATTTCCTTCTTTTGATAATATATTGACAATGAAAACCATAATTAGTTTTATTTTGTACTTTTTTCTTTCCAAGTACCAAAAAGAGAAAACAAGATAATATTTTAACAATATATTACATAACAATGAAGCGCGATGCAAATTGAAGTCCGCTTACACAAATTTATGAACTTTCTCTTTGAATGACAAAGTTTATTTGAAGAAATGATTAGGTTATGAGTTTTTTCAATCAAAAAGTTAGAATTTTTTTCTTGGGTGATCTAGTAGAATTATATCATTTTCTTGTTTTACTTTTTCTTTAACAATCATATTTGTTGCAAACTAGAGGTAAAAGAAAAGACGATAGAGAAAGAGAACAGACTCTCTTGTATTTTATAAAAAATCAAAACCCTATATTTATATGTAAGAATTAGGGTAGTAGGAATACAATAGTCATATTAATTAGGACTAGAGGGATACAATAATCATTCAACATTTAATTTACAAAG